AGACTCGCTTGAGCCCAGGAGTTGGAGGTTGCTGTGAGCTGTAATGCCACGGCACTCTACCCAGGGGGACAGCTTGAGGCTCTGTCTCAAGAAAAAAATCTTTTAATCAAAACATACACAGGACCAACACAAAGGAAAGAAACTGTTTTGGAGATCCTAATCTCACAGTAATATTCACGATGGCATCTGTGTATGTACTGACAGTATAATAAAACAATTGACCTAAGTCTATACTAACACTATACAATGCAGATATCCTTAAGAAATCCTTACGTTATTACAATACTGGAGTATGAACGACATCAGAAATGCCTACTTAGGCATTTAATTCCATGAACTTATTTGAATTGATTCCATAAACTTATTTGAATTTATCAAGCAAACAAACCATACAATTGACAAGTAATCTTGAAGAATTTCCTTTGTTTCTTTGGAGACAGTGTAAAAAAGGGAGAGAAGAAGGGGGTGAGAATGTATACATGTGTGGGTTTTGGAATCAGAATAACCTGAGTGTGGATCTCAGTTCTGCCACTTATCATAAGTAAGATTTTGGACAAGTTGCCTAACTTCTTAGTGCCTTTATTTCCTTAACAGAAAATATGCATAATTCCATCTATACTTCATAGATTTGTTATACAGGAGTAAATACACTAGTGATTATTATAACATTTTTATTTTAATCATTGTTTTTTTCACTTGCCAGTTGTTTTTCTTTCAACCAAGAAAACAAAAAAAGCACAAAAGCATTTTTTAAGAAAAGTATTCTGGCTTCATCTTTTCAAAATGTTCCCTAAATGGACAAATCCTGAGTTTTAATGTTAATCTTTTGCGTACAGACATTTTTTACAGACAAAAAGTACAAAGACTTGTAATAAAACTTTGAGCCAGTATGGTGGCTCACTCCTGTAATCCAAGCACTCTGGGAGGCTGAGGCCACAGGACCTCTTGAGGCCAGGAGTTCTAGACTACCCTGAACAAGAGGAAGACCTCATCTCATAAAAAACAGAAAAGTTAGTCAGGCGAGGTGGTGCATACCTCTAGTCCCAGCTACTCTAGAAGGCTATGGCAGTAGGATCACTTGACAGAGTCTTGCTATGTGCCCAGGATGGACTTGAACTATTAAGCTCAAGGGATATTCCCACCTCAGCCTCCTGGGTTGTTGGGACTATAGGCTTGTGCCACTGTGCCCAGTTAGTGTCCTTTAATACAAGCCAAGAGATGGCACTATAATATTTTGACTTTCTATATACTGATCAAAAAAAGTAAATATGTAAAGTAAAAAGATTCAGATTATCAACTGAAAAGTCTGCCTTAAGACATGTTAGGAAGGGGGAAGGCACAATTATTTTTCTCTGAATTGGAGAAACACTGCATAGGGTTTTTTTTTTTCCTTAAGACAGAGTCTCACCATGTCACCCTTGGTAGAGTGCTGTGGCGTCACAGCTCACAGCAACCTCCAACTCTTGGGCTTAAGTGATTCTCTTGCCTCAGCCTCCCAAGTAGCTGGGACTACAGATGCCCACCACAACACCCGGCTATTTTTTGTTGCAGTTGTCATTGTTGTTTAGCTGGCCCGGGCCATGATCAAACCCGCCACCCTTGGTGTATGTGGCCAGTGCTGTAACCACTGTACTACGGGTGTTGAGCCTGCATAGGTTTTTTTTTTTAATCACCTCAAATCATTTTAGAATCTAATCAGGAGTTTTAAATAAGAAAACAGGAAAATCTATAAAAATCCTAAGAGATGGGTTCACAAGTGACCAAAACCAGGAATAAGCATCACATTTCACAGTTTTTTTTTTTAGGTTTAAATTTTAAATCAAGTATCTGGTATATTTACTTAGCTGACCAATATCTATTCTTAAAGAAAAGAATAGGTGGGAAAAGGCGTGCATGTAAGTAAAGAAATAAATGTAGTAAGGATCATGTTAAACCATACCTAGTAGTTCCTTTTAAACCCTATTCATTTTATCGCTACCACTCTGCAGGACAACTAATTTAAAAGCTTAGAGAATGAACTATTACAACTTTAATTCACATCCCAATTCTCAATCATAACTTGATCAAAGTCAGAAACAACAAAATGGAAAATGTGACAGAAGGAAAAGATTAATCACGGAGGAACAAAAAGGTAGTCTGATAAGGAGAACATGGACCATGAGGGTTAGCAAATTTAAATTTTTATAACACAGGGCAAGTGTCAAGAACCATCTGTCAATCAACAAAATAATAAACAGCAGTTTGACAAATATAGAAAATACAAGTGTCAGAAAGGAATGAATGTACATTCTTCCTGTTGAAACAACTATCAATAATTTTTGTATAATTTAAGAGCTGGAAGGGACCTTAGAAGTTGTCAAAATGGATAACATGTTTCAATGGAACTTAGCAATAAAATAATTGGACAACTACTTATAAATAAAGAGGTCATACATTCTTAGGTGTGATTAAGGCAACTTTCATGAAATCTATTTTGAAACCAACATCATAGGCTATTGTTTTCAAATCTACTTAATCATATCTACCCCTTTGCTAAGAAATTCCCTTGTTATATATGAAATATACCAATAAATTTTACAAACTAAGAAGGTAACTTCAAATAGGATCATTCATTGGTCTGAGCATTTTACTTTAAGTGAGTCTTTTATAGGCAGGGAGCATGGCAGGTGGATTGCTTTAGCTCAGGAGTTCAAGACAAGCAAGACCAACATTAAGACCTTGTCTTTAAAAATAGCCAGGCATTGTGGTAGGTGACTATTCCAGCTACTCAGGAGGCTGAGGCAAGGGGATCACTTGAGCCCAAGAGTTTGAGGTTGCTGTAAGCTATGACACCACAACACTTTACAAGGCAAGAAAGTGAGACTGTCTCAAAAAAAAAAAAAAAAAAAAGAAAGAAAGAAAAGAAAAAAAGAAAGAAAACACAGGCTTAAAAAGTAAAGAAAAAAGACAGAATACATAGGCTTAAAAGTGATTGTAGGGTTAACTATGTAGACACTGAGATGAATGAAGTGACTCATTATCATAAAATTACATTAAACATTCATACCTAAATGGCAGTGTACAATGTTATGTTAACACCACTGCACTCTGGCCATGGCAACATAACAAGACTGCCCTCCAAATAAATAAATAAAATAAATAAGAATTTATCTTGACATTCCTCAAAAGCAAAGACCACAATTTTTTTCAATCTCTGTGAGACCTGTTTAAGATAAAATGGTTATAGTTAAAAACATCTTTGTCTTTTAAATATATTGTACCATAAAAATAATGAAGGCAGCCAGGCACGTGGCTCGTGCCTATAATCCTAGCACTCTGGGAGGCTGAGGCAAGCAGAATCCCTGAGCTTACAGGTTTGAGACCAGCTTGAGCAGGAATGAGAACCCATCTCTAAAAATAGCAAGGCATTGCGGTGGGCACCTGTAGTCCCAGCTACTTGGGAGGCTGAGGCCAGAAGATCACTTGAGCCCAAGAGTTTGAGGTAGCTATGACATCACAGCACTCTATTGAAGGTGACAAAGTGAGACTGTCTTAAAAAAAAAAAAAGGTGGCTAATCTATATCATTAGCTATTACACATTTTTCAGTGCTGTTTTTTTATGATATACATACTAAAGTATTCAGATGTGACATGTACTGATGTGACTAACTTTATAAAGCATCAGTTCAATCACTGGTGTCCAGCTAACAAAAAAGCATCAAATAATTGGATAATCAAGTGGGTGGTGAATGAGTGGATGGATATATGATAAATGATCAACAGTAAAATATTAGTGGTAGAATCCAGGTGGTATGTATATGGGTATTCATTATGAGTCATTTGTGAAATTTTAGAAAAAATAAAGTATCAGTGTGTTACATGGAATAGTTATACAGAATAGTTGCTTTTTGTTTTTTTGGTCACACTTTCTAGAGTAAACATTTGGATTTTAGAAATATATGAAAATTCTGGAGCCAAAATAAATGTACTTTCACAGTGTAATTCCATGAGAAAGAACAAGCAATTAATATTTTGAGGCCTAGTGATATGGATACCTTTAATCTTAGCCTTTTGGGAGGCTGAGGCAGGAAGATCACTTGAGGTGAGGAGTTAGAGACCAGCCCGTGCAACAACAGCAGCAAAGTAGCAGCATCATAGCTCACTGCAGCCTCTAGCTCCTCGGCTCAAGTAAGCCTCCTGCCTCATCCTCCCAAATAGGTAGAACCATAGGCATGTACCACCATGCCCAGCTAACTTTTCTTTCCTTTTTGTTAGGACCTGGGGTCTTATGAAGTTGCTCCAGGCTGGTCTCCAATTCCTCACTTCAAGTGATCTTCGCATATACCATAACTTTTCAACATTTGTTTAGTATTTTTTTCCCCTTCTGAGAGAAAATTTATACACTGTGAAGCCTATGAATCTTTTTTCTTCTTCCCAGAGTCTTGCTCTGTCACCCAGGCTGAGTGCAGTGGCACTATCATAGCTCACTTCAACCTCCAACTCTCAGGCTCAAGCGATCATCCTGCTTCAGTCTCCCAAAGAGCTAGGACTACAGGCACATACTAACACTGCTGGCTAAACTTTATAATTTTTTTGTAGAGACATGTCTCACTATATTGCCAAAGCTGATCTCAACCACCTGGGCTCAAGTGATCCATCCCTCTCAGCCTCCCAAAGTGCTGGGATTATAGGTGTGAGCCACCATGCCTGGCCACAATCTTACATGGTCTCCTTGACAAATGCTTACCTATATAATACAAGGTCTTCCAAAATATAAAACGTTACCCTTACCTCGTAAAGTTTCCTCATGCTTCCTTCCCAGTTGATCCCTCCTCCCAGAGGCGACCACTATTCTTATTTTTCTCAACTATAGATTCTGGAACCCCATATAAGTGGAATTTCATCTGTTCCAGAACCTTGTATAAATGGAAAGAGTGTATATACTTTTGTGTAAGGCTTTCAACTCAGCATCTTTTTCAGGTTTGTTATTTTGAGTTAACAGTTCCTTTTTATTGCTAAATGGTATTTACTACCAACATTCTTTTAAACAATGAAATACTAAAAGTTTGGATTCTGAGTGTTTCATACCTTCATATTGACATCGGCCCCATTGCCAACTAGAAGCTCTAAACATAACGCTCCATGTGTTGATGCAGCGGCAAAGTGCAAAGGAGTAAATCCTTTTTCATTCTTTTGATTTACAATAGCACCACAGTCTATAAGTTCATTCACTACAACATCTTGTCCATTATAGCAGGCTACATGAAGAGGTGTATTTCCATAGGCATTTGGTTCATTCATCTATTTAAAGGAAAAAAATGTGAATGTAAAAGTAATCTCCCTAATTATCATTGCTGTCAGCTATTTTAGCAACCTTATGGTTATAATGGAATGATTAAAGTGAGAAACAGAGATAGGGATAAATACAGTTGAGGCTTACAATTCTAAGGTTCATTGAACATTAACAACCATTTTGGTGCTAAATAGATTTAGCACCAAATTACACTCAAGAGATATATACAATGTCTACATAATGATGAATCTGAATGATACCAAAAGAAATATTTTAGGAAAATGTAAACTAATGTATTATTAAAAGCCTTCTAGGTAACAGATTAAGTATAGAATTAATTCTAAGACTTAAAAAAGATAAACACAAACTGAAGATTCTAAGACATATTTATAATAGCATGCATCTTCTTAGGTTTTTCACTTTGCAGTGACAACACTGAAGTTAGTAATGAAGTATAGATCAGGATAAAAATGAATGGCATGTTTTTGTATTTTCTTTCTTTCTTATTTTTTTTTTTTTTTTTTGGTGACAGAATGTCACTTTGTCGCCCTCAGTAGGTGCCGTAACATCATAGCTCACAGCAACCTCCGGCTCTTGGGCTTAGGCGATTCTCTTGCCTCAGCCTCCCAAGTAGCTAGGACTATAGGTGCCCACCACAATGCCCAGCTATTTCTTTGTGGCAGTTTGGCCAGGGCTGGGTTCGAACCCACCACCCCTGGTATATGGGGCAGGCACCCTAATCACTGAGCCACAGGTGCAGCCTACTTATTTCATTTTTGCTACCAATCTGGCCTGCAAATATCTTCTAGCTTCATATGGTGACATTTTATCACAAGGTGAAAGAATGTGCTCGATAATAAGAAATAATTTATACAACTCAGTGGTTTTTGTTTTCTTTTTGTTCCTAATAAAATAAGGGAATACTTAAAAGTTTACAAGATTTCTCTGTAGTAAAGAATATGATTCAAAGAGAGGTCCAGATCTTGCCCTTGGATTCAGAGAGGTAATCTATGTTATACATGATATTAGTGTTCTTGTTTAAGGGAAGAGTTAACCATACCAGATACATGTATAAACCAAGGATGTGATATAGGGAGGGGGTTTGGGTCATGAGCTATCAGTGTATCTTGAGACTAAAATCAACCACATGAGCAATCAATCAATCATGTCTATGTAGTAGAACCCCAATGAAACAATGAAGCTCAGGTAAGCATTCTTAGAAATATGTTGTGCATGTTGTCACACACAGATGTTGGCAGAGTAATGTATCCTGTCACTATGAGAAGGGGAAAAGGGCAATTTCATGTTTAGAACATTCCTGGACACTAAGTGTCTCTCTTCCTTTGGCTGATCTTAATTTGTATCCTTCCCTATCATAAACTGTTATTGTGAGTATATAGCTTTTAGTGAGCTTAGGAAGTTTTTCCAGTCAAACCTGAAAGCAGCTTTTAGAGCCCCTCACCCAAAACTTGTAGCTGGTCATTGGCCTGTGTGGAAACTCTGCCCCATAACCTCATATTCGGGCCCAACTTATCACAACTTTAACATTTCTGAGATCACTGGTAACAGACATCTGAGGAAGTAACTTTGTTCTTTAACTTTAATCAAAGTACTAGATTTTGTCACCAGAAGCTAAAAGAGAGACATAGAATAGATTCTGTGTCTCCAGAAGAACCAAACTTGAAGATACCTTGATTCGGAACTTCCATATTATAGAACTTTGAGAGATTAAATTTCTGTTGATGTTAAGTCCTACATAGTGCCCAGTTTGTGGTAATTTGTTATCAGATCCTTAGAAAACAAACAAAAACCCCCCACACAACTGGAGTTTACATGTCACTCAAAGGCTGTATGTTCAATTATTTCAAAGAGTATACTGTTACCAGAGTTTACAAATGTTATTTTACTGTCATAAAATAAGTTTTAAGAACTGCATTGGAAAGAACTTGAGTCAGTGATGAGAAACAAGGTTGCCTCATTTATTGTATTAGGGATTTTTCAGGCTATTAAGTTAACTTTTTTTGAAACAGACACAGGAATTGATGTAGTTGAAATGAAAATTGCACTTTACAAAATCCTATATAACATACATATAGATTTGTGCAACTTCCTTTTTTTTTTTTGGAGACAGAGTCTCATGATGTTGCTCTTGATAGAGTACCATGGCGTCATAACTCACAGCAACCTCAAACTCTCAAGCTTAAGCGATTCTCTTGCCTCAGCCTCCCAAGTAGGTGGAACTACAGGTGCCTGCCGCAACAACTGGCTTTTTGTTGTTGCTGTTGTAGTTGTCATTGTTGTTTAGCAGGCCCTGGCCAGGTTCGAAAGTGTCAGCTCCCAGGTGGCTGGAGCCCTACCCACTGAGCACCAACCAGATGGTGAGCCAGGGCAACTTCTTATGAAATCCACATATTCAATAATTACTAGCTTGTTTTAGGCAGAGTGTTTTATATGTTTCTTACATCAAGAGCCTGTCTACCTCTACAGCTGTTATATATTGTTTGTTCAACGAGGCATCATCTATGTTATCTTAGTTTTTTGCAACTGTTCCCTTCTAGCAGAACTTTACCCTTTCTTTTAATTTGGTGTTTAGAAGAACCAATGAATTTGTTAGCATTGTACCTAAGAGTGAACATGCTAAGAGCAACAGTAAAGAGTAACATGGGTTTGAAATCTCCCAGTATTCATTAGTTACCTTAATTTAGGAATCAAATATATCCAGACAAAGCAGCATCTCTTTTTAACTGAAGAGAATTCTATGGTAAGGAACACTTACACCTGGTAGAGAAAAAGCCTTGTTTTCCGGCCTACCTCTTGCCAATCTCTCATAATGTGAACTGCTGCAGTCATTTAAGGGGAATATTAGAATATCTAGGCAAATAACAATAACCTAAGTGTCTAATGAATGTGTATCTGATCTGCTATTTCCCTCAGGTGAAATGGAACTCTACAGGGCCTGGAAAGTGACGGAGAAGAAAGACTGACAATCATTCACCCTTGAAAGGCATTTTACCTCAACATAATTTGAGTATTTATATCTCTTGCTCATTAATCAGTACATTAAATAGTAAGTAAAGGACTATAGATGTCTAGTTAAAAGATAAAAACATTATTGTATAAAATAATCTTTTACACCTGAAATAATGTCTGCCAACAACAGATTAAGAAAAACATAAAATGCTCCATTATTTTATTCTGTTCAATTTATACACCTACATCAACTCCAAGATCTAAAAGGTACTTGACTACGCTGATCATTCCACTAGAGGCCGCTGCATGAAGAGGTGTGTAAGACTTCTTATCCTTGCACGTCACTTCAGCTCCATGTGCCACAAGTAATTTCACTACTTCAATGTGACCTAAAAATGTGTTTTCACAGAAAAAAATTAAGAAACAAGTAGACGAAAAATATTAAATATAATATAGAAAATCTTCAAAGAAATTTAGAAACGTAAATTAATTAGATGATGCACAGCAAGTTACCAGTAAATCACGTTATAACTTGAGAGAAGACAGAAGGAAAATATAAGAATTTTAGATAATTTTGATAAATGTTGGTAGAAATAATATTAAAGTTGGCCCTCTGTGTGCACTGGTTCCACACCTATAGATTCGAACAACTGCAGAATGGAAAATATTTGAAAAGAAAAAAAAACAATTAAAAAATACCAATTTAAAATGCAGTACAACTATTTACATCATACTAGGTATTACAAGTAATCTAGACATAAGTGAAAGTATATGGGGAAGATGTGTTAGTTTACATGCAAATAACACACTATTTTATATAAGGGACTTGAGCACCTATAGATTTTGTTATGGGAGGGATGACAAATAGCAAGGGATAACTATAATATATTTGATTAGTTATTAAATGATAAGCTTGTAATTTTCCTTTTGCCTAGATCTTTTTGGTGTTTTTCCCCAAGATTATTTTAACACATACATTCTTAAGTTAGCTTTTATGTCTAATTCAGGAATATTTTGTTTTGTTGCACTTCACAGATATTTGATCGTGTGGTTTTTCTTTTAAAAATGCAAACTGAAGGCTTGTGGCAACCCTGTGTTGAGCAAGTCTATTGACAACTATTCTTCAATCAACATGCGCTTACTTTGTGTATCTGTGTCACACTTTGGTAATTCTTGTAATATCAAACTTTTTCATTACCACTGTATCTGCTATGGTAATTTGTTATCAGTGATCTTTGATGTTACTATTATAATTGTTTTGAGGTACAATGAATAGCACCTATACAACACAGTGAACTTAATAAATGTTGGGTGTTCCAACTCCTTTGTTCTCCCATCTGTTTCTCTCCTCTTAGGCCTTCCTATTCACTGAGAAACAATACTGAAATTAGGCCAATTAATAATCCTACAGTGGCCTTGAAGTGTTCAAGTGAAAAACAGTTACAAGTCTTTAACTTTAAATCAAAAGCTAGAAACAACCATTTAGGGAGGAAAGTTTACAAAGTTTAGTGAGGAAGACATAGTTAGCCAAATTGAGAATTCAAAGGAAAAGTTCTTCAGGAAAATTAAAAGTGCTGCTCCAGTGAAGACATGAATGATAAAGTTTGAGTGGTCTGGGTAGATCAAACCAGCTGCAATATTCCACCAAAACTTAATCCATAACAAGGCCTTAACTCTTCAATTCTATTAAGGGTAAGAGAGGTAAGGAGGCTACAGAAGAAACAAGTGGAAGCTAGTAGATGTTAGTTCATGAGTTTTAAGAAAAAAAAAGCTGTCTCGTTCAGTGCCTGTGACTCAAGCGGCTAAGGCGCCGGTCACATACACCTGAGCTGGAGGGTTCAAATCCAGCCTGGGCCCGCCAAACTACAATGATGGCTGCAACCAAGAGATCGCCCAGCGTTGTGACGGGCGCCTGTAGTCCCAGCTACTTGGGAGGTGGAGGCAGGAGAATCGCTTGATCCGAGGAGTTGGAGGTTTCTGTGAGGTGTGATGCCATGGTACTCTATCCAGGGTGACAGTTCGAGTCTCTATCTCAAAAAAAAAAAAAAAAAAGCTGTCCCCATAACATAAAAGTACAAGGTGAAGCAGCAAGTGCTGATGTAGAAGCTGTAAGTTGTCCTAAAGGGCTAGTTAAGATCAATGATAAAGGTGGCTGGCTACACCAAACAACAGATTTTCAGTGTAGACAAAATAGTCTTCTACTGTAGTGGTTCTCAACCTTCCTAATGCTGCCACCCTTTTACAGTTACTCATGTTGTTGATACTTCATAATTGTAATTTTGCTACTGTTATGAATTGTAATATAAATGCCTGATATGCAGATTGATTCTTCTCTTAATCTTTTATCTTTAAATAAGAAACAAGAAAAGACAAAACAGGTAAAGAGACTAGTAAAACATAGAAAGGTGTTACACAGAAAATAGGCAAGTCCTTATGTGATTTTTTTCTAGTCACAGGAATCAAAATAGCAGAAGCAGAACTATAATCTTTGGCAGAAAAAGAAAATGCTCTGAGCTCCATGGCTGCAATGGGAAGAGTTCTTTCAGCTTTTTTTTTTTTTTTGACAGCGTCTCACTTTGTCACCCTTGGGTAGAGTGATCCTCTCGCCTCAGTTTTTCTATTTTTAATAGAGACAGGGGTCTTGCTTTTTGGTCAAACTGGTCTCGAACTCGTGAGCTCAAGGAATCCACCTGCCTTGGCCTCCCAGACCGCTAGGATTACAGGCGTAAGCTACCATGCCAAGCCCACACTGTTAAGATTTTTAAAGAATACATGTCATGTTACAACAGAAAAGCCTGCATTCTAAGTCTCAAATTCTTTCTATAAAATTAGTTAGGCTTCTTAATGTATTTTTATAACTTCTACCTTAATATTTCCATAGAAACAAGGTAGGTATGAGAATGGGCTTTTTGTAAATTACAATCCTAAATTATATATCCTAGGCTTGTGTGTGAAATGTCTCTCCCTTTATAGGTAAACAATTTCAAACAGCTTTTATTACATTATGAAATGTGATTTTGAATCAAAAGTGCAGTTTATTGTATCTCAAACAAAAAGCAGTATAATTAATCAAATTATGCAACTAGATTACTGGCAGTTTTCTCATCTTAATGGTAGCTTGTTTATGCCAACAGTGAAGAAGCCTGAAGAATAAGTGGAGATGAAATCAGGAAAGGCATTTCCTACCTTTCTACAGTTGATAAATGAATATTTTTCTTTGCAATAAGTGGCCCAAAGCCTGAAACAAGTAGTAATCAGTTGGTGTAAAGTCTGGTGAATATTGTGGACGACAGAGTTTCCAAGTCTACCTTCTGTAGTTTGAACAGCACTGTCCGTATGACCTGTGGTCAAGGACTGTCTTGTAAGAGAACTAGTCTGCCTCTATTGACCAATCTCGGCTGCTTAATTGCTAGCATCCTTATCATATTTTCTAACTGGTTACAGCAGACATCCACTATAATCCACTGAAGAGGTTTCATGAAGCTGTAGTGAATGACACCAGCACTAGACCACCAAACAAACACTATTACCTTTTTCTGACGAATATTTGGTTTTGGACTGTGTTTTGAAACTTCATCTTTATCCAACGTGCCAAATGCTTGCATTGTCAAAAAGAATCCATTTTTATCACACATAACAATACAGCATAGAAATGGTTTGCCTTTATGCTGTGACAGCAAAGAAAGGCAAGCTTCAAGATGTCTCTTTGGACATTTAATTCACGTGGAACCCATGTATCCAGCTTCTTCACCTTGCTGATTTCAAATGGTCCCATATTGTTGGAACAGTAATGTCAAACTTGCCACTAATTAATTTGTAGGTTGAGATGGATTCATTTCCACTACTGCTTTCAGCTCATTATTATCCATTTGGTCTCCCACGTGGATTATCTTCAAGATTAAAATCTCCAGACATACTATGTGTTCAAAGCTTTGACATACTATGTGTTCATTAGCTATATTCTTTCTAAACACTTTGTTGATATTTCTAGATGTCTATGCTGCATTGGTTCTACAATGGAATTCATGTTAGAAAATCACACACATTTTTGTCTTATCCATGGTTTCACAAAAATTGCTCTAAAAAAATTTGAAAGATAATCATAAGCCAAAGGTGCATTTCAAAGACTAAGGCTATAGCTTCACAATAAAACAAGAAGTAAGACAGTGAAATGTCGACGATATCAACTATTAAACTTCATATTAAGAAATCAGACATTTTTACCAAGACAGAATCAGTTCAGGGTAACTAGGAGATTTCTCCAGTTTAGGAGCCTCACTCAGAGGTCCTGCTCTCCAGAGCTACCTCACTCAACTTGGAGAAAGCAAGGCCATCCCTCAGAGACTCACTCTGCAGTCTCAAAAGGGAGTTTTGTGAGTTGCCAGGTCTGTTTTAGCAGCCAAACAGGTCTCTGGGGTGCTGCCTAAGGGTGGCCAATCAGATTATCTCTTAATGATTGCTTATAGACAATCTAACATTTTAGCTTAAAAAGTATAATAAATATATAAATAAATGGAAAATCACATTGGGGGGAGACTAGCAGAACTTGGTAATATGAAAAATCAGAGCACATTAACTCCCCCAAGAGATGACAAGGGAGATACAGTTGAAAATATCACCCCTAGAGAAACTGAAGTGACAGAAATAGAATTCAGAATATAGATGCAAATAAGATGAATGAATATAATTGAGAAAATGGAAAAAGAAATCTAAAAACAAGTCCAAAAACTGTCTCAAGAAGTTAGTGAAATTTTAAAAACAAAGTCACCAAGGATCTGGATATAATTAGGAAGTATACAGCAGAGCTTAAGGAATTGAAAGAAACATTCAAGGAGCTTAAGAACACAGTAGAAAGCCTTAGAAAGAGTCTCAGAAATTGAAGACAAGAATTGTGACCTAACCAAATCATTCAAAGAGGCAGAAAAAAGAGAATAAAAGCAGAGCTTTCCCCGAAAGAATTATGAGACTACTCTAAAAGATCAAACATTTGAATTATAGGATTCCTGAAGCAGAAGAGAATCCTAAAAGCATGGAAGCTTTTTAAGACATCATGGTAGAGAATTTCCCAAGCATTGCCAGAGACCCAGAAATCCAGATACTAGATAGTTTCAGAATGCCAGCATGATTCAATTCAAACAAAGCATCTCCTGGACATACTATAATTAGTTTGGCCAAAGTCAAAATAAAAGAAAATTCTGCAAACAGCCAGGTGTGAGCAACTTCTTAACTACAAAGGGAAAAATAGCAAGGTGACAGCAGACTTTTCAGATGAAACTTTTCAAGCTACAAGAGAACGGTCACCTGTCTTTAACCTTAAGCAAAACAATTTTCTTTTTTTTTTTTTTTTTTTGAGACAGAGCCTCAAGCTGTCCCCCTGGGTAGAGTGCTGTGGCATTACGGCCACAGCAACCTCCAACTCCTGGGCTCAAGCGAGTCTCCTGCCTCCGCCTCCCAAGTAGCTGGGACCACAGGCGCCCGCCACAACGCCCGGCTATTTTGTTTTTGGTTGCAGCCGTCATTGTTGTTTGGCGGGTCCAGGCTGGGGATTCGAACCTGCCACCTTAGGTGTACATGGCTGGCGCCTTAGCAAAACAATTTTCAGTCCAGAATTCTGTATCCTGCTAAACTAAGTTTCGTTTTCAACAAAGAAATTAAACATTTTACTGAAATGCAAACATTGAGGAAATTTGTCACAATAGGACCAGCTCTGCAGGAGGTACTCAGACCTGTTCTTTACACTGACCAGCACAATGGAGTATTGGCAAAGTAAAGACACCCAGAAATTAAAGGACAAGCTGGCTTCCACAATGGCAGAAGGAATAAAACTAAGCAATAGATTCCACAAAACAAGATGAACAGAACTCCACCATACTTGTCAATTCTCTCAATAAATACGAATGGCTTGAATTTCCCACCAAGGAGGCACAGGCTGGCTGGCTGGATAAAAAAAGCACATGCCAAGTATGTGCTATCTTCAGAAAACACATTTACCCTCTAAGGATAAAACAAGACTCAGGGTGAAGGGATGGAAAACAATAATTCAGGCAAATGGACATTGGAAGAAAGCAGGGGTTGCAATTTCATTTGCAGATACAATTCCATTTAAATCAACAAAAATAAGGAAAGACAAAGATGGACAGTATATACTTGTTAAGGGAATGATACAACAGGAAGGGATTTCAATCCCAATCATCTATGCACCAAACTTAAGTGCTCCCAGATATTTAAAATGAACCCTAACAGATCTGAATAATGTGATACCCTGTACCTCCATAATAGCTGTGGATTTCAACACCCCTCTGACAGAAGTGGACAGATCCTCCAAACACAAACTACACAAAGTAACAAGCGACTCAAACATGACTTTAGAGTAAATGGGCTTAACCAACATATACAGAACACTTCATCCTAATGAAATTGAGTATATATTCTTCTTGTCAGCCCACAGATCATCCTCCAAAATTGATCACGTCTTAGGGCACAAATCAAAGAACTCTGGACAAATCAAAACTCAACAAAATAGAAATTACACCTTGTATCTTCTGGGACCATCATGGAATAAAAGTAGAACTCAACATCAATAGAAATCTTCAAACCCACATAAATTCATGAAAGCTAAACAATCTTATGGTGAATGACAGCTGGGTCAAGAAGAAGATAAAGGGTTCTGAGGTACTGTACCCTCCCTTGGGAGCCCACAGACTCCAAGAGAGGAACTGCATGCCCTCCTCTCAGACAGGTATAGTGCTAGGAGGCAACGCATGTGAGGATGTCAGGGGAGCACACTGCCACTGCAGACACAGGGCCAGAGTTGCTGGTCTTGGGGATCACGATGATGGCTCTGACCCAAGGGCACGAGGTGAGTGCTGCTGTTTCTGCTGTTGTTGCTGAGGCTTCCCTAGGCTCCTGGTCATGACAGGAGATAGAGCCCTCAAACAAAGAAATCTGGATCACAGAAAAAGCATTTAAGGACTATGTAAATTAATCCTGGCCAGCTGCATAGTCCTCCAGGAACCGGAGGGAGTGAGGATGCCTCAGCATCCCAGTGTATCCAGACAAGATTGATAGAATGTTCTCGTCTTCATTCTGGAGATGTTCACATCCACAAAACTCTACACCTAAAGAATGTTCTGAATATCCAAGCTCCAGAAATGTAAGGTAAGGTGTCCATAGCTGTACCCACTGATGTGTGCATAGTAGCTTATGGAGTCACTCCTTTACTGAAGAAAGGCAGCCTGATGATACTGCCACGGAATCTGGAGAACATGGTAGTAGCTCCTTCTCAGAATTGCACTATCTCTTTAAATGGTTGCAAAAAAGTCCTCCATATATTTTGATTCTGGGTGTCAGCATGTAACAGGAACTTCCCTTGGAATTGGGCTGCTAACAACTTTTACGTATACAAATAAAAGCACTGTAAATCAAGTTGTTTTTCAAAGAGAAAAGTCCTCAAAGATTCATTGTGCGTGGTTACTGGTATTCCTATCAGGATCTTCTGTTCTTTTGTATTACACCTTTCGTTTGCACTCACTTTATTACAGCTTAAGTTTTTAAAGTCTTACTTTGGACTATTTGAATTTATGGGAAGTACTTTGGGTTGTCTGGAATTACAGACTTCATTCTGAAATTCCTCTTCGTGGGCTTAAATGCCTTATTTTATTGGTGCCTTCTTTCATCATGCCTTTTAATTCCCAGGGTTACTGGTATATGATTTTAGAAGAAGTATGTCAGTACTACTGAACTTTAATTCCTACACCAGTTTGTTTTGGTTACCTCATAAGCTATGGGGAGTTTGGTAATGTAACTAGATGGAGTCTTTGAATATTGCTGGCTTTACTCTACCTCATACTAGAACTTCTGGACTTTTTTGGACATCTGAGAACTTTCAGACAGTTTTACAAGTATTTTTTATACATCCGCTGCCAGCAAGAGACAATGTTCAGAAGTGGATGATATTTGTTCAGTATGTCAAGCTGAATTTCAGAAGCCAATTCTTTTCATCTGTAGCATATATTTTGTGAAGACCTTATGGTTTAACCAAGAGAAAACATGTCCACTGTGCAGAACTGTAATTTCAGACCATATAAACAAAAGGGAAGAAGGAACTACTTCATCACATCTTCAGATATATAAGCTGTGTAAACTATTAAGGCCACAAAACATTAACATGAGTTGGTTACAGGTATTGTTGATAAAAGCATTAGTATGGATTTTCAGGGCTAGAAGAAAAATGTTTCCAAATGGTTTGGGAATATATACTTAGGTATGTAGTCCATTTCTTCAAAAGATTAAATGAAAATACTGTTTTAAAAAATATGTAATGCTCAACATAATGTATATGCAACATTTTTTCTATCTTAATTATTCAACAGGCAATTATAAAGTTAAATTGTGTTTTCTTGTTGATGTTACCAAAATAGCAGTTTGAAACTGGAACTAGTGGTTTTAGAGAACTCAGGTATTCTTTCCTGACATTGCTTTCAGAATAAAAAATATTTTTCATAATAAAAAAAAATCAGACATTTTATTCTTAATGACCTAGATGAACTGGACATAGTGCACTCCAAACTTCCTCCATTTATCAAGCTGGTTCCACCTGGGAAGTAAACTCAAGTACTGTGTAACTTTACACTACCCTGTAAGACAAATGTTATGTAAACAGCAAGAACTAAAACAATTTTTCCTAAACATATGTAAAAAGTACAGTATGTACTTTTACTTTTTACATACCATAAATTTAAATTTACATACTATAATTTTAGGAAAAACAATTTTTCCTGAAGTACATACCATACTTTTTACATATCATAAATTTACTGGTATGTAAATTTACATACTATAATTTAAAAAGTATATACCATCTCTTAAAAAAAAAAAAAAGTACATACCCATATATGCTGCCCAATGGATAGCACGTCTATCTTTCTTGTCAAAAGCATTAATATTGGCACCTCTAGACAAAAGCAGTTTGACCATCTGGAATAAAAGTAAATACTGTTTCACCAAAATCCTGAAGTAGAACTGTTTATTAATACTACTTGTGACAACTACCCATCTTAATATCTCTGGCACTGAATTTTTGCATTTGTAAAAAGGAAGGAGCTAGACTAAATATTGAAGGCTTTTTTCAAATATGAAAAAAGGGTTAACTATGGCATTACTAAAGTTAGGCACTGGTATCTTTTTAAGATGCCACTTTGTATCCTGATATTTTATTAACCAAGCTCAAATCTGGAAAGTCTACAGCTGGAATATTCAATAAGAGTTTTTATTCCTACTCATAGCCCCAAAAGTTATTAAAATGCAAAGTGCATTCTCATCCTGAAATGTCTTAAACTTAATTCAAGCACAAAGCCAGTATCTTAAATATGATTACACTGAAGGTCACTGCATAGTCCACTTACCTCACAGTGTACCAACAATAATAATAATGCCTAACCACATGTACAATGTTTCTTCACTAGTAAAGGCATTACAGGTTTCAAATAGGGATATATGGGACCTTAACTACAGTGGAGACAAGGATACTTTATGTTGCAAAAGCAGAAAAGTAGAGTAGTCCCCCCTCTTATCTGCAGTTTAGCTATCTAAATAGATAACCATGGTCTGAAAATAGGTGATTATAGCATAGTTATAATAAGATATTTTGAGAAAGAGACAGACAGACATAGCACATTCCTGTAACTTCTATTACAGTATATTATCCTAAACCATTCCATTTTATTACTGTTGTTGTCAACCTCTCACTATGCCTAATTTATGAACTAAACCTTATCATAGGTAGGTATAGGAAAAAATGATATATATAGGGTTTGGTACTATCTAATATTTCAGGCATCTACTGCAGGCCTTGGATTGTATCTCTGTGGATAAGGGGGGACTACTACATTGTGAAAAAACACTAGCTCCCAGACACACAATCTTGGGAATGTCACTTTACCTTTTTCAGTTTCTGTGTCTGCAATAAAAATGGAGGACTAGACAAAGTGGCCTCAAAAGTTCTGCTTTAAGGCTGGACCGCAGTGGCTCATACCTGTAATTCCAGCACTCTGGGAGGCTGAGTCTGATAGACTGCCTGAGCTCACAAGTTCGGGACCAGCTTGAGCAACAGCAAGACCCTGTCTTTAATAAATAGCTGGGTGTTGGGGTGGGTGCCTGTACTCCCAGCTACTTGGGAGCCTGAGGCAAGAGAATCACTTGAGCCCAAGAGTTTGAGGTTGCTGAGAGCTGTGATGCCATGGCACTCTACCCAGGGCGACAAAGTGAGACAGTCTTTAAAAAAAAAAAAAAAAAAAAAGTTCTGCTTTGTGAAATTGCTCATTGTCCTAGATAATTTTTTTCTACACTAACAGAACATCCTTTCTAGGTTGTATTAGAATTGGCAACATTCTCCTTTGTTACTCTAGATTGACTACGAATTTCAAGTGCATGGGCAGGTATCTACTAATCTACTAAGTAAATTTCTAAATTTAAGAAAGTTAAATCATGAAAAACATGTCTGAGGTTTGCTAAAGGCAAAATTAAAACAAAAATTAGCAAGACAGATATTTCTGTTTGCTTTTACAATAAACTGATGAATGAATATCGTATCTATTAAGTAAATTTCTAAATGTGAGAAAGGTAAATCATGAAAAACACGTCAGAGTTTGCTAAAGGCACAATTAGACAAAAATTAGCAAGATAAATATTTGTTTGCTTTTAACATGAACTGATGAATCGCTAAAAAAGTGAAGGTCATTGTAACTAGGGGGTAGATGGATGTAAAGGGGAAAAAAAAATCACTAATTAAATACCACCTACCTCACCGTGCCCACTAAAAGCTGCATGATGTAATGCAGTTCTCCCTGCTCGATCCGAAACATTCACATTACTCAGAAGAGGTACCAAAGCTTCAGCACACTTTACAGCTTTATTAGCAGCAGCTATGTGTAAAGGGGTTTGCCAGTTTTTGTCTCGAGCATTAACATCTGCAGAATGCTTCAGAAGTACCTGAACTGCTTCCTAAAACATACGAAAATAAAAGTTATATAAGACAAATAAGTGATTTTAAAATGTATATACTATGTATACATATATACACACAATATCTATGCATATACCATGTGTATATACACACACTATGCCTATATCTAACTATATAGAAAACAAAGTTCTGATAGAACCTATTATAAACAAGCATGAATTTACCTAAGAAAACAAAATTGTAGTGGTTTGGCGCCTGTGGCTCAAGCGACTAAGGCGCCAGCCACATACACTGAAGGTGGCGGGTTTGAATCCAGCCCGGGCCTGCCAAACAACAATAATGGCTGCAACCAAAAAATAGCCAGGTGTTGTGGTGGGCGCCTGTGGTCCCAGCTACTTGGGAGGCTGAGACAGGAGACTCGCTTGAGCCCAGGAGTTGGAGGTTGCTGTGAGC